TGTGTGTCTGTATCTGTGTGTCTGTTTGTATTGGACCCAAAGGGGGCAATGACAATGCAAATCTATTGCTGTATTGGTGTTAACAACTTGATTATTATCTCATCACTTCCCCATGCTCTGTTTCCTCTCGTCGACGACGAGAAAAATGATCATCATCATGAATTGCGCATCACTTTTCTCACTCTTTCTGCCCCGTCTCAACCTCAGATTCACAAAAGATATTTCAGCACAAACATGTCCATAAAGTTCTGCAGCTGAGTGCAATTTGGCCTTGTCTTCCGTCTGTTAAGTGTTCTGCTAAGGTGTAGCGAAGTAGCAGATCACATGACATTATGAATCTGCTGCGTGCCGTTCCCAGTACCATTATTAAACAATGTTTGAGTCAAACATTTTTAGAAATGGAGTTGCAAGAACAATACTTTTTACTCATATGGAGAACTCTAATTACAACAATAACTATTATAATTACCTGTTAACTCCCCCTGTTCTTTCATTTGTTTCAATCTGCAGGATCATTTTCACTCTATATTGAGTGTTATTTGGGTTGCTTTGACTGTGCGCTCTCCCTCTGTGTGTGGCTATTAGTGATGGTGTTTTAGAGTAAGACTATTTTGCAATGAGACTCATTTGCATAGAAAGGAGCCAATGTTGCGCCAAATGTATGCATATTACCTCATTTAAATATGTGCAAATAGCACCAGAGCATTGAGACACAATTTGCTTGGCAGTGCAGTTAGTGGTGCATTTCACCCTCTGCTGGTTCTTTAAGAATTACACTGTGTCTTTTTGTCTTATTTGTGCAGGTTTAACAGCTGCAAAAGCCACGCAAACCTTTTGTGAATTTGCCCCTGGATTTTATGTAACTGTATGCATGAATATTTGGAGCCATTACTACATATATTGGTATACTTTTTCTTTTTACTTTATCAACACATCAAAATGCTACAAAATGGAAAGTACTTTATACAGTAAATGTACAGTAAGTACATTGTCCCGTAGGTGTTTAACTGGGTTAAGATCTCGTGTCTGTAGTTTCTATACTCATTTACTCAGAGTTCTAAATAAGAGCAATAAGGGAGACAAGTTTTGTAGATATGCATATTTATTCCAAATAACTGCTATATGTTCAAATATCAGTTAAAGAGCAACAAGAATTTAATTTAAAACAAAGTTTCAGAGCTGCTCTTTCAGATGAACCGCCATAGATTCACAAAGTCTAGTCAAAAGCCGCACGCTCACGGTTAAAGCGCTGATATTGCTGCGCTTGCTGATCTTGCTGCTCTTGCTGCTCTTGCTGATATTGCTGATCTTGCTGATCTTGCTCCGCTTTTCCCCCGGTCACAAGTCTGGTGGGTAGAGAGACAGTTGGGAACATTACAACATGCAACAAAAACACTTGTCACGTATTATACAAGCATCAAGTATTGTCAAACACAAATCCTTACCTGTGGATCGTCTTGCCGACTAAACAAAACAGAGAAAATAAAACAAACATTAAAAAATAATTATAGCCAGACAGAAACATTATTATAACATTATCATTTGTTATACGTTATCCATCATATGACATTGTAAGGCCTTATAAACATGCATTATGTTATTGTGCATACTCATAAATAGTGTCTTTACATTATTATTATTATCAAAAATGTTCAATAATATTTATAATTAATAACAAATCAGTACAAAGTAACAGAAGCTCTATAGTTCGTTATGGGGGCATTTCTTGTGAATTAGTGTATCATAAGCCCCATCAGTCAACCTCAAGTTTATAACTAGTCAAGAACATCCATAAATGGTAAATGGTAAATGGACCTATACTTGTATAGCGCCTTTCTAATCTAGACTGTGTGAATGTGTGTGAAAGGGTGAATGTGGCTGTAGACAACAATAACCTCAGTAAGGACTACATTCATTTTAGATGTGCCAGTTGGCTCTGGTATTATGAATCCTGAGATATGATCATATCTGTGCATTTCGTCATGCCAAAATGTAAGCTGTGAAAAATTCCAATATGTTCTATGATTGGTTACCGTGAACAATTCCACGGAAAATGTGGTGAAAGAAGGCGTCCCCAGGTTCAGCCATGAGGACGACCATCGACAGCACCAGAAAGAGCGTGACGCACTTCATCCTGAAAACAAGAACCAAACACATCACAAAGGCCATGGTTAGACTGCCTGTGTCATAGATTTGACACCCAGTGAACAGTTGTTAATTGTTGTTTTTAAAATAGTGTACAAGCTCCAGATTGAGATATATACTCTTAACAATCAATTTGCTCCTAAATGAAGGAAGATGAGATACTTACTCTTCAGTCTTTCCACCGGCTGTGACTGAAAGTCAAAAAGCTGTTATCAAAGTGAGCTTAAGAAGCGGTTTGAGATGTACAGGTGGTGTAAATCTCTCTGCATTGGCCGATACACATCTCTTTTTATAGCAAGATTTCCCTTACTCATGGTTTGTGCAGGATGTTGCAATATAGGAAGGTATAACCAACTAAGGGCATTCCACACTGAGCTCACGTCTTTGGGTTCTGGTTTTTAGTTTAGTTTAGAAAGTCAAAAATCATCCTCAATTAAAAAATGTCTTATTTTGTCTCATTATGTGTTCACCTTTCCAATGAATTTAGAGATGGACATTTATTAAAAATGGGAAACATTCAACAGCTACAGCTTTTCAAACAAGGTGAAGATGCTATTTTTTTTATTTAATCACTGTAACAAGTCATTTAATAGAATTTTTAATTGCCATGTTGAGCTCTGGGAAGGTGTGATTTACAGATGAAATGGTATTGTTATTAATTGTAATAGGAATTTAACCTTGATTGGTCCTAGTATAGAGCCCTGTGGAATACCTTGAAATCTTTTTTATATGTAATGTAAGTGTTGCCAGAGTATTTTGTCTGTTCCGAATGTAATATTTCCCACTGATTCTTTTTGTCTCATACTTCACAAAAGCTTTATATCTGCTATGATGTTCCTGCAAATACTGGCAGTGCACAGGGAATTCTGTTCACTGATCAACTTTATAACTCAACTCATGTTATTGTTACACTACTTCTTAGCATTTATGATTGTCTCGTAACTCACTTGTAGCCACAGTTGCTGCTGTTCAGAAAAAAATACATAGGTCAAGGAACATGTAAAGGAACACAGACACTCTTTTCACTTTTTTCATACAGCGGCTTTATTTTTTCTCATCTCAGAAAAATGTAATGTAACATTTTTTATTATACGTTTTTAATAAGACAGTAGAAGAATGTTTTGGTGCATTATAAAGAAAATTTATTACAAACAACTGACAATCTACCAAATGAATACAAAAATTCTCAGTTTATTAGGGCAATGCATATATATTTTCAAGAAGTGGCTGCCAAACTTGATATAAGGTTTGGGTTAGGTCCAAAAAATAGCTTCAGAGTGGCTTCTTCAGCCTAGTGAAAATGAGGCCTTCCTGGGTTGTAATCAATTGAACGTTTGTCAAGCTGCTCTTGCTGCTCTTGCTGCTCTTGCTGCTCTTTTGCCTTGCCAAGGCTGATGGAGGGAGAGAAGATAGTAGTATTAGTGTATAATTATATATGAGAAATAACTATATAAAGTTATGTCACATTGTGACAATTAAAGAAATACTTAATTCCTTAAACTTAATCTCAATGAGACTTCTGGGCTGCACTCCAGAGGGTTAATATTTATTGTAAAACTAGTAGTTTAGTTGTTATAACAATAATGACAAATAGTAGAAGCACAGGTACTTACCCATTGAACAAATGGCCAACTAAAATAGACAAGAGAGAAAAATAATTACATGGAATCTGAACTCTTGACTTTTTATCACTCATCACAAAAAATATTACAGTGACTTTATTGTTTGTCAGCAGAATAATACATTTACATTACATTACATTAATTTTAGGTTATTCGTTACACATGTTTTTCTAGCCATGTGTCAAAGTATTTTCCATTAAATGACTGTACCTGTATGTATGGCTCCATGGATAAGCATTCCCCAGATACACTCTCCAGGTTCAGCCATGAAAACAACCATAGACAACACAAGAAAGGCCGCAGTACACTTCATCTCATCGTCTGTGTCACCCCTCTTTATACATGTAGCAGCTCTATTCTCTTATCACTTCCTCACTTTTAAAGTGAGGCCTCTGAGCTCTTTATTATACCACTTTATTAGGTGTGTTTGTTGTGCTGTAGGACCGCTCCCCGCCTCTGTGCGGCATGAAAGGAAAATAAGTTCGTTTAAAATGGTTAGACAAAATGGTTAGATAAACCAATATTACAAGTTACATAAACGTAACCACACCATTATGGCTTATAAGGCAACCATGTAAGAAGTACATAAATAAGAAAGATGTTGGCTTAAAGTTTGCAAAAATAATATTGGAAATTAGGAACTATTTGATCAAAAACTAAGTAAACTAAATTGTGGCTCTGACCGACCACTCAGTCAGCTTTCAATACTTTTTCAATACAGCTTTAGATTGAAACACAGTTAATTGACAACTATTACATCAATGTTAATACAATACATTAATCGCTGCTTTTTCAGTTGTTTGTTGACAGCTCCATTAAATAAACAGCAATGTTGCCATTTTTCTTAAAAATGTATTTGAAATGGAGCAAACAGTGAGTAAAGGTAAAGATGATATGTTTCTTGTGAAATCTTCAGTTTACTGACTATAAATCTAAGGCATTAACACCACACAGCATTTTCTCCAACTTTAATGGGATATTCTTAATTCTGGATTTTAAAGCTGGACGGCTGTGTTGTGTGTATCATTTATGCTTTCCCACCATCTGACACAAGTGCACAGTGTGTACATGTAAAAACCCTGCAGACAATTCTTCAGTATGCGTTGGTTTTGGTATTGACACAGCGTTTGATGTCAGCTTGGTAGAAGCTTTGAGTTCCGAACATTTCTTCTTAGAAAATTTGTGAGTATTCTTGTGAAACTCCACCCATTATTATCAAAATAAGCAAAAAGTGGAAATTATTAAATAACATAGAGGTTCATCATCAAATTTTAAAGGGACCTAAAACATTTTAGAGTCTTGGCTAGTCTTGGTTTTACTTTTCTCCTCAGCTTTCCTCCATCTCGCTTTTTCCTCATATTTACATAGAAAAACCAGGTACATTGTAGCGTGTAGTGTACTAGCAGTTGCAGGAAACAACTAACTGAGAAGAAGCATGCATATTAAAAACAATAGTGGGCCAGGAATGGATCCAAGGGGAACACTGCAATTAAATTAAACTACAGGAACATCAGGAGTTGTCTCTTACAACAGAGTTTCTGTTAGACAGATACAAACCAAAGACCTACCAAATTTGCCAGGATAACACTTCATTCAACTGTATGAACAGCAGCTCTCAAATTTGTCATAAAATAACTTTATTGTGTTAAAATAACAACTTTTTCCTCACTTCATGATAGTCTTTTTTTTTATAAAAAATTAATTAACAGCTCAATGGAAAACCTAGGACCACAGAGGCATGAGGCAGCTCATCTAGTTCTGCCTTTTTTTTGAGGTGCTATCCGTGATGCGAATGCAGTAATGACAATGCAAAGCCCTTGCTGTATCAGTGTTAACAGCTTGATTATTATCTTATCACTTCCCCATGCTCTGTTTCAACATCTCACTTCTCTCTGCTAGATGGAGGAACTAACAGTGAGAACTTATGAAGACAGACAAGAAAAATAAGAAAAATGATTACTGAGTTCTTTAGCTGTCTTTTATTTAAACTTGTGCCATTTCTATAAAGCAACAGTATGTAAGAATTGGTATCTTTTGTAGTTGGTGCCACAGTTTCAGAGTGCAATTTTAGTGGTATATGGACAGCTGTACACATGCATTGCATTGTTATGATTAAATTACTTATGATCAAAAACTAGCGAGTCCAAAACTTTGCTAATACAGTCAAACATCAAGCAAGTGAAACAACACAAGACATAGCAATCTAGCTAACATAACTTACTAGTCCAACATACACACACTTCATTTCCTTATATTTTAAGTGATCATCCGTGAGTTTTTAGTTCTCCATTTTTGCTACTCAGTGCTGTAGTGTTTTTTGTCTTGCACAAAGGCCACTTGTCAATCAAACGAGGGGCAAACACTGATATCTTTCCTTAGGTCTAATGTTAGAGATTTAGTGCTCGTCTCTACTGCTGCTCAGTTTAAGCTCTATTGTGGATTTGTCCTGTGTGTGAGCATTCGGTTTTTAAAATAGCATGTAAAAACCTTTAATGAAATGCTTAGATAAAAATAAAAAAATACAAGCAATCCCCTTGCATTTATCGATATGTTACTATATAGTCAAGTTAACATGTCCCACTCTTTATCACCAGGGCTCCAATTAAAAGCATGTACCATAAAATATCAGGCTCATCCATTTAAATTCCTCCCGATATACTTAAAATGGCTGTCTGGTCAGCACAGTGGAAAAATAAATCAATCCTGCACATTGCTCTATATAAAAGACAAACTGCAACTCAGTAAAAGTATATGGAGGGATAATATATTAACTGGTGTACGTTGTTGTACTTTAGATTGTATTAATGATCAATTTCTTTTTCTAATCACCTCTATCTTTGTATTTTTCCTTCTCTAATGTTGACCCATTTGGAGCACATGAATAATAATTTAGGATCAATCACTGCTGTCGTGCAGCCACGGTGAAAAACAATCAGCAGGCCTTAAATGAACTAAAGATAGGAGTTTGATTGTGTAAGATGAAACCTCTCTACTGACCACATTTACAGTATCTGAACCAACCAAATACAGCATATTGATTTTGTTTAAAGGAGACATTACACACAAGTAAAAACACAAATAATGTGTGAAAGACCAGAAAGGCATCTCCTGATTAGCTGCTGTTCCATCCAACCAGATCTTTTTGACACGTAACAAAAAGAACACGTAACAGCACTCTGAACTGGCTGGTTGTGTGACAGAAGAGAAAGCGAGATTGCCAAAAAAACCAACATCTCAGAATCCTGACAAACCAAGATACAACAAGGAGCCGTGAGCTGAGGGTTCGTGTTTGATCCCGGTGTAAGCCCCTCTCTGCTGTCTCAGAGAAATAAGTCTCACTGTAGCATTGAAATCTCAGAAGGACGCAAATTCACAGCATCAGCTAAAATAGACTCTCTCAACCACCTCCAGTTGTCTGGAAGCTTTGTTAAAGCACGAGGCTTTGTTGTTGTGATGACACTGCACTTATTCTACGCTATTATGTCACAACTGAAACGCAAATTATTAGCATTATTGAAGGCCAATTGTAGGTTTTGAATGATGCAACGAACTGGCTAATTAAAATTGGTGGTTGGGTAATAACCTTTTTACAGTTACAGATATCAGAATAAAAGTAATGCAAAATAAACTTAAACTGTATT